TGAAACGCTCGATAAAAACGCTATCAACCTACCAACAACCCACACACCCGTCCATAAACGCACAAAACCCCCACCCACCCACTCACCCAACCATTAACCAACCAACCAACAAAACAACCAACCAAACAACACACCAACCAAACAATCATATCAACGAAAAAAACAACAACCAACCAATCAAACCACCGACTATTAAACCGACAAACTTACCAATCCGGCAATCCATCAATAAATAACAGCCATCCAAACAATTAAGCAAAAAAATAATTCAGAACGCTTTTGGTGAGTCACCATTATTGGGATTAAAGCTAAAAACTTAGTGACAGGGCCAACACAATTGGCCAAAGTATAGGGACCTATTTTTCATTCGAAAAGGTTGGTGGGCTCCGTACGTAATAATAATAATAATAATAAAAAACCCGGATATAACACACTTCCTATGGAGGCATCATATTGAAAAGTACATTTATATTTAGAACCTTAAATGAGTTCTAGAACTCTGGGGGTCATTGTTCGATTATTTCGAGAATTTTGAACCGTAGGTTCACGATCAAAATTCACAGCGTTGAAGTATCACCAGCCTGTAAGTACACTAAATCGACCGCTACCTCGTTCAATGTTCAAAGTCAAACATTTTATGGGTATAACAAGAGAACAAAAAAAAAACAGAATCAAGTAAACAAACATATTCCTTGATTGCAACGTAAAACGGGTCAATATGAAAGTATTATAATATCGCCCTTCCTGGACCTCTAGACCTTATGGCGTCATTAAACTGATGCTATATGGCAGTGCCAAAAGATATTTCCATGCCGACACACCTAAGTGAAGTAGATAATAACTCACATAACGAAGCAATCTGTACAATTTTGTGTACGCTGTTTTCTTCAAGTTCAAAAAAGCTATTGTGACTTCCTAGAACAAATAGCGGATAAGCGTGATGTAGTACTTAGAGAAATCTCGGAGCGCTAGAAATGACCCAGATTTATACAAACAAGACCAGACAAATTCCTAGTAGAAGAGTTACACACTCGTCGAGTTCCGTGCTGTTAGAAAGATGCAGATTACAACAAGATTACCAGATGCAAGATGCAGAGATGTTGTACTAAGATATTTCTCGTTTAATAACCCTGTAAGCAATTTTTTTTTCTGCCGGATTAACCTGACTGGAATCCATTCAAATAAATGCAGACACGTCTGCTGTAATTAATTATAAGTGCACCACATCGCAGTAAAGTCGAATCGAGTTTTTTTAATCATTTTTCAGTCTAAATCAAAATCTTAATATGGGATATGCATGAACTGGGATTTGATGATAATGGTACTACTATTCCAAGTATAACGATTACATCATCTGTGTTCACACTCAAAATGTGGTCAATTTCGAGTTCAACTGAAAGCGATATTTCGATCAAGCTTATCGATCCATTAAATTAAAATTATCACTGAATTGCGCCCTCTAACATGGCGAATATTAGATAAATGGCTGTGTCTTAACCGCAGTCATGTACAATTAAGTTAATAGGCGTATAAATGGAATAGGATAACTTTACTTTAAAGAACAAATTTCTATATCATTAACACCAAATGAGAAATGTTGACCATCRCATTCTAAGATTGTCCTTCGGAAGACAAACGACTTCAACTCAACCACTCGGCATTGTAATTGATGCTCCTTCGAACAACCCCCAAACAAACGAAAGCGTTTGATCGTTCAWCAATGCGGGAGAGGACCTGTTTGTTGATCAAACATTTCTCGTTTTGGCCATGGTTTTGAGACTCATGAATARCACCCTTCTATTTTCACTTACGTGACTTGTCGACAACTTTCAATCCCAAAGTAGTACCCCAAAAAAGCGCAAATAAGAGCCAGTGGATTCTCATACTTATATATGCTAGCTTTCCTTGCTCTCTGTAAATGAGTTGAGTTTTTTTTGGACCGGAAAAGGGACTGACCAACGTCTTAAATCCAAGGATATATCTGCCAAACAGGCGCTTGGAATATACAAAGAGGGTCATCTTAGGTTAACTCGTATCGCATCACCATTCAATGRCATACAAATAACCTTTTATTTCAATCAAAATGTTGGATACTACAGTCATAACATATATTCTCGTATACAATCCAATAACTACATTTTTATAGTTTTAGAAACTTACGTGTAAATAAACCTATTATATCATGTTTTCTTCTTCTTGAATTTAGCTGTCCTTCAGGGAATTGGTATTGGTATAAAAACGCTAGCTTTAATAGGTATGTTTTTCAATTTTCTTTTCGTCATTTTCCTAGCTGGATCTAATTACTAAATTCAAGTCATTTTAGGATTTTATTCCAGTTGGCAACTCTGGAAACACCAACAACAACACCACACAGCCCCAAAATAACAACAACCCTCATAAAGGATGAGTATCCAKTCTTTGGCTTTGATTCAATCTGGCGTGTTTGCATGGGGTGAAAAACATTAATGTACATATTGTTAATATTGGTTTTCGCTCTTTGGGGGCACGCCCCTGGACCATKRATACGATACTGGGMTGGATGATGAGGTCCAAAGTAACACTTCAACGCMAACACAGGATCAGTGACKAGTAGATGCCATAGATTGGGTCTACAGCCAATGAGTGATGCTATTTCGTCCTGGTACAAAAGGCCATCTTCCTATAAATAGAAGAATAACATTTTAATGTTATATGCGATTGATATAACTGTCCCAGATTCGTGCCTCGAGCCAGATTCAAAGCCTCGAGCGGTGATATGGAGCAGACATATTGCTTGAGGTGGCTTTACGCTGTGAAACTTTCTTTTAAATATAGCTTAAGTCAGTAGTGCGCCCTTTTTAACACCACCATTAGAACTGAGGCGTAATTAAGATCACAACGCTAAGCTTGCTCCAACTGGAAACGCCATTGCACAGTGTATCACACTCTAAAGGACCGTTTACACTTGCTATTTCTGATCGATTTTTGATCGATAGCAAAGTGACGATTACCGCGCTGCAAAAATCGCAAGTGTAAACGGGCCTAAATAAACGTTAATAAATGTTTCACTTCTAGTTTGTGGGTCCTTTAACGCTCTTTGACTTATTACATGGGTTATCATTTGGCATTATATATACGTGCTCRAACTAACCGTCAGTGCATGCCTTGGTGTGTTATCCAAAGATTCTTTTATACGCTTTCTTTTCCTCAATATATCTTTCCACATTTCATCTGGAGAAGGTAACTTCACCAGACCTTTAAGAACACGAGTCACCCAACGCGCTTGAATTTCAAATGTAGGATTCATCGATCCATTGATTGTCACATAACCAATGAATGCTAAAGTATGGTCAATATCGTCTGGAGGGAAGACAAACTTGTACAGATCGAGTTCATTGTTTTCTTTAGAGGGAATAATTGATTTGTCAAGAAAGCT